TGCTAGTCTAGCAGCTGTGTTTTTGGCACAGTACACCGAAGACAATGAGAGACGTGTGCTTCGTAGCAATGACTTCGAGACAGCGCCACCACCCTAAGTCTGCTGAAGTAGTAATTTTACTAAATCCGTGAAATTACTAAAACTGAAAAATTACTATATAAAATTACTAAATAATGCATCTTTAGTAATTTTGTGAGAACTCAAAAATGCATCAAAAGTGCATCAAAAGTGCTTCAAAAGTGCATCATAAAAGCTTCGAAACTGTGCATCACAGCAGCCACAAGGAATGTACTGCACAAGTAAAAGAAACATGCCCAAGTAGGCCAGGAATGTGTGTGAAAATTGAAAAAATCAATCACCACCTGTGGATGGTGGGGGAACTCTCACAAGTGGAAAGCACAAGTGGAAAAACGCAGCCTTGTCTCTATTCAAGACCAGCTTGCCCTGAGCATGGTCTATGCTGTGGTTCACCAACATTCTCTGTCGTTCAGTCTTTCCTGTCTTGAGCTGCTTGCTTTTCTCCACTCCTCTTCAAGCCATTCTGGAAGCGCTCCAGAGGCCAGCATTGTTTTAATTTCGCATTCTTGCTGCGGTCTTTCTTCTGGTCTGTCTCCTTTGGCATGCTGAAGTTGGTGTTGGGGTCGACCACCTCATCGCACGTAGCAACCTCCTCTTCTGGACCCTCTGTGCTCTCCTGTTCTCTTCTGCCTTCTCCAAACCCTCTGACCATTTCTTCTGTTTCTTTTCTGGCTTTGTGTTCTCAGGCTTCTCTGTTGACTGACTTGGCTTCTTCAAGACCTTCAGAACCTTTGTTGTAGGTTTCTTCATCACAGCCTTGCCCTTGGGCTGTGCCTTTGCCTTGCCCTTGACATGCGCCTTTGGCTTGCCCTTGGCATGCGCAGCAGGCCTCTTTTTGGGCTTGACACTCTGGTGAACAGTCTGGTGAGGACTTGGTTGTGTAGCAGGCACTTCTGCTTCTCCACCATGGCTGGACATGGCTCTAGTCTCTAGTACCTCAAGAAGATCTATATTATATATGGTAATCTTGACTGCGCCCAAAAGACATGAAGAAGCTCTGGAAACATAACAACCCAGGTACTAACCAACTAAAGTCTCAAGTACTTTGGTCTTTACACAATTAAGACCCCTCCAAGTAACTTGCCTCAAGGTGCAAAAGCAATCCAAGAGACCAGGTCCTTTTGAATTACAAATTTTACACAACCAAGACCTCTCCAAGTAACTTGTCCCAAGATACTAAAGCAATCCAAGAGATCAGTTCCTTCTGACTTAGAAACATTTTTATAGATTTTTCTTAAAATTTTTATGTTTTTATTGAACTTTAGTGATGCATTTTTGATGCGCTTTTGATGCACTTTTAAAAGTGCATCAAAATGATGCACTTTTGATGCACTTTTAAAGGTTTTTGATGCACTTTTGATGCACTTTGAAAGTGCATCAAAAGTGCGTCACTAAAATTTTATAAAACCATATAAATTTTAAGAAAAATCTATAAAACTGTTTCTAATTCAGAAGGAACTGATCTCTTGGATTGCTGTAGAATCTTGGGACAAGTTACTTGGAGAGGTCTTGGGACAAGTTACTTGGCATTCCAAGTAATCAGGTATCTCAAGTATTCGCAACACAAGTTGACTCACAAGTATATCAAACCTCGAGTATTTCAGTTTATCAGAGTACATAAGCATGGTCAAACCCATGCGATCCAAGATGTCCTGGGTGTTTCCTTGCCTTGGACAAAGCTCAAGCTGGTTTCTCTCAAGTAATACCCGCAGGGCTTTCACCACCTTCGAACTGAGCAGCTTTGTATTATTTGGAGCCAAACCAACCAGATCATAAAGCAGACCTGCAACTTTGGACAGCCAAGATCCATTCACAGGTGTTTGCCACATCACACTGACCGGCCCTCCTGGAGGAGGAGAAATCAAAGACCAAAGGTCTGAACACTTCTTGAAATCCAAGTAGTGTCCCAAAACCCTGTGAAGGTCTTGGACAGTCACCAGTGGGTCAGCCACCAGCCGCGCTCATTGTGCCCTCTCTGCTCTCTCCAGAGCAGCCACCTTTTGCCTCTCAACCAAAGCAGCAGCCAAGGAAGCCATGCTGCAGCACACACCTATGTTTACGCTTGCTTAGGCCTCCAAACTAGCAACGCACAGCTGTCAAAGAACATTCCCACAAGTAACATGGCAAGTCTCAGGCAAGCAGCAAGAACTCACAAGTAACATGCCAAGACTCAGGTAATGCAACACAACCTCACGAGTATAACTTGCCAAATCTCAGGCAGGCAACAAAAACTCACAGGTAGTATGCCAAGACTCAGGCGTATTGCAACACAACCTCACAAGTACTATAACTTGCCAAGCATCAGGCAAGGAGCAGAAACTCACAGGTAAAATGCCAAGACTAAGGTATAATGCAACACTGCTTTACAAAATGTCCCACACTGTGCCAAGTAGAACCCTGTGCCAAACATACAATTTTGACACTAGTTTTTGGTCAAAGAAAGATGGACACTTCTCATGTGTTGCATAAAAAACTATACCTTTTAGAAATTACTATATATAGTAAATCAAATTACTATATATAGCAATTTTTTACTAAATAAAATCACTATTTTTAAAAAAGTAGTTTTTGTATAGTAATTTAAAAATTATAGTATTTTATTGTCTTAGTAAAATTACTACTTCAGCAGACTTAGGGCAGAGACCCAGGAAGGGCTTCGCAAAGCAATGGAAAAGGAATGGGAGAAATTCCTTCATTTCGGAGCCGTTGTTGTGATAGAAGGAGCCGAGAAAGACGCATTGTTGCAGCAAGGACATGTCACGATCCCCAGCAAATGGGTCCATGTGGACAAGAATGAGTTCAAGAAGCGCGCGCCCGATTATCAGCCGAAGTGTAAGAGCCGATTAGTGTCGCACGGAAACTTTGAACAGACAGAAGGCATTCGCTCCGATTCTCCGACCGGAGATAGCGATTTGCACATGATCATTACCGCGTGGGCTTCCGTTGTTGGAACCAAATTGCATTCCGCAGATGTAAGTAATGCCTATTTCCAGTCAGAGCCGTTGGATCGAGTACTCCTCCTTCGACAGCCGAGAGGCGGACTGCCTCAAGTTGATCCCAACGCCGCACTGTTGGTACGAGTTCCTGTGTATGGACTCACAGACAGTGGAAGATCATTTTTGCTTCGTTTGTCGTCAGATGCCAAGAAGGCTGGACTTACTCCAAGCATCATTTGCCCAGCATTCTTTTACAAGCTCGATGAGGAGAACCGTTGCATTTCCATGCTGACAGCACATGTTGATGACTTGTTGTATAGCTATTTGCCAGAAGCAAAGGAAGTGTTGGATTCGTTGTTAGGCTCCTATGAACTAGGTTCATTGGAAGAGACGAACTTCCGCTACTGCGGTAAAGCTTTTGGTGAACAGAACGCATCACTGTTTATCCACACAAAGGACAACGCCCGAACGATCAAGAAAATCAAAGTGGACAACAGCCAGAAGTTGTCAGAGAAGTTGAGCCCAGATCAGATCACGAAGTTGAGATCTGTTGTTGGCTCGTTGGCTTGGGTAGCAAGACAGGGACGTCCTGATTTGGCGTGCCGCGTCAGCTATCTTCAAACAGCGATCAACGGCGCGACCGTTGGACTCCTGCACGAGTGCAATAAAGTAGTCGATTTGGCACACAAGCAACTCGAAGACGTCGTGTTTCAATTCCCAAGAGATCATTTGAAGACGACCGATTGGCGCAATGTTGGTATCATCAAGATGCTTCATTCTGCAACGAGAAAGGTTTCAAGGCGGCGCAAGGACGTGCGCACCTTTTGGCCAATGTGGAGCAGATGAAGGATGAGAATGTGTACATTTACCATGTGCTGCCATTAGGCTTTTCGCCCACGACCATCAAGAGAGTGTGTCGTTCGACACTCCAAGCCGAGACGTATTCGTTGCAATCCGGTATAGAGAGCGGAGACAAGATCCGTGCCCTTATCGCTGAGACGAAGGGTTGTTTGCGCAGCCGCAAGGACTGGGAATCCGTTATGAGATCCTGTGTCTCGCATTTGCAATTTTCGGATTGCCGTTCGCTTTGCGATCACCTCGATGCAGAGACACTAGCCAAGGTGTCAGATAAGAGACTCGGGATTGAGTTGGCCGCAATTCATGAGAACTTATGGCAAGGACCACAGAGGACATGGAATATTTTCCCGAACGGAGGAGATCGACTTGACTGGATCAGCGCTCATACGATGTTGAGTGATTGTTTGACCAAGACCATGAAGCCGGACCTACTACTTTCGGTCCTTCGACCGTGCGTTTACCAAGTTGACAAGAACAAGGAGAAACGACGAGCAGAACGATGAACCGTAGAAGATCATAGAGTTGCCGAAGAAGAGAAGTTTCACTGCCTTAAGCGTAGAACGCACTACGAGTAGTTTCCTTGTAGAAATTCCTGTATAGCTGGCGGATTTGTACATTAGATCCCGGACAGGCTCGAAGAACAGGTTGAGTGTGAATTTTCCCTGTTGTTGGTATCTTGTGTACATCCGAGTTCTGTCCATGGTGCATTCCGCCGCCATTTGGGTTTACAGGGCCCTTGAGCTTATCCGCGCTTACGCCTGCGTGAAAACGCCGTTGGACGTCGTGGTCGGGACCAATTTCACACCGGTGTATTTCCAGACGGTTGCATTCATCGGTGTTTTTCCAACCCGTGGCCGGTGTTTTTTGCGACGGTAAGCTGTCAACCGGCGTTTTTTGCGACTGTTGTCACGTCAAAGTCAAGCGGCTGCCCACAAACGTTCTTGCCACAAACATGTTTTGCTCTTTGGGGCTTGTACAAGTTTTTGAAAAATGTTTGATCTGCTCAAGACCTGAGTGATGTCTAAGAAGAAACCTGTGTTTGCATATTGCAGAGTGTGATAGACCTAGGCTTATGCCGACTCCACAGACCGAGCCAAAACTCTGATGATTTGGCAAGTTCCCACTGAGGCAAAAATTGGCACCTCAACGACTGTTACTGGGGTCGCATTCGCTATGATGGCACATGGTACTCTGCCATTGCGCCTTGTTTGCACGCAAAGATGCTCTCCTTAAAATTGTGGCGGTTTTGGAACTGGCAAGAGCAGGTCGAGCTGTCTCTTCCGCCTTTCACACAGATCCATGCGGAGCTGTTGGTTCCTTGGCCCAGAGAAGCTGGCACTTGACTCAAAGTTGCAGTGCAGGCACTTCGTCTTTGGTTTTCCATTCAGTTAGATGATATTCAGAGGAAATTATATTTTGATAGTTGAATTGTCTTCACTGAAGAATCACAAACCTGCATGTTTGATGAAACCTCTAACACGACATCATGAAAAATTGGATGGCAAACAGTTTGGGAGTGAACAGTCAAATAATGAGTACCTGTTTCGACTGTGGTTACCCAACTTCGGTCATCAGGTCGTGTACCAATTCTTTGGGCGGCTTCATAGCGTGTCCCATGCACAGCTCTCCCTCATAGGCCACGCTGCAGCCACACAGACAGAAGAACGAAAGACATGGAAGTACTCGGATGCTCTGCAGGGTGGCCGGGCTCCAATGGCTTGTGGGAGGAAGTTGGCCTCGGGGCTGAGGGTGAGTCGATCACCTACGAACCCAACTTGTGCCTCATCTCATACGAACCACTGTGAGTGATGTGACAAGGTGAGTCAATCTTGACATTGAGAGCCTGTCTAGCTTGCGCTCACTTAGATTTCGTTCTGTATTGAAAGGCAGCAGAGGCGGAACATGATTCTTGACACTCGGCCCTTCCTGGTTTGTGCGATGGACACTCCCAAATGCCATTGCTTCAAGGACATGCAATTGCCTATTTTTTGGAACATCCACGACAGGAATTCTTTGAGTGTTTTGTGTGGGTTCATGTTTTCTGTCTTCTTCAGGCCTTACCCCGGGCCAATTACTTTACAAGCATTGTAATGGAACCGTTTTGAGACAGAAAGACATGTGATAGCTGTGGAGCTTTGTAAGAGCAAATCCGTCAGGAGGTCAACTCGAGCGGCAGCTTTGCAGAGATACGATGCGAGTCAACCAAGGCGCGCGAGGATTGTTTGCTCCAAGCCAGTCGGATGCACAACGGTTTTGGTCGCCAACTTTGCAGAGGTGACAGAGATAAGGAGTCAACATGTCAAAAAATGACAGTGTTCACCACCAAAGGCGCAGAAAGAGTTTCAGTGTTTAAAATCTTGTTAGGCCGAAGGCTGTCTGGGAGATGTGGAAACCACCGGCTGGACGGAGAATCATGGTGGCTCTGAACCTCAGTGGAGTTGGCTGCGTTTCCCTGAAACTCTATAGACTGGTTGCAGGCATATTTGTTAACCAGCTTTTCTGTGAGCCGTTGAAGTTGAAGAAAAAACATTTGTTAAACAAATTGAACTTCTTCGCACACTTTCCAATTGCTCGCTTAGCATAAAGCTCCCTCTCAGCCCAACAAGGGACCATTATCCATTGTTTATTGAGTCTTTTTTTCAAATTCTACCGTATGTTCATTGTTCACTCAATAGGTGGCACTGGTCTCAGGACTTTCTCGTGGCCATCAATGAAACTGGGTGTTTTGCTCAGCCATGCTGGTACTGCAATTTACATTCGGCTTGATGTGGTTGTTGAGTCGACTGCAATTTTCAGCTCGTCTGAGTTCTTTTTGGCTTGTCAGATCAGGTCTTATCAATACCTCACAAATGTCACATCTTGGCATTTCTCCAATGGCCCACGCCTCACGAATGCCAGCTACGACGGCCTCACCTCTGATGGCGCAGTGCAGGTTCAGCGGCAGGTAAGCACCTGGGCCACGCAAGACTTTGCTCGACATTTGCACTCTTTTCGCTACAAGGTCTTGAGGACTGACAGTCAGAAGTGACAACCGTAGATCTGTGTAACTCAACAACCGTAGATTTCCTTTGGCTGCAGGAATGTCTCCTATCCACGGTTTGCACTCTACGTCCTCGGAGCTGACTGGTACAACTTTGTAGCTGATCCAAGCTTTATCTATGGTGACATGAATGGGCTGCACGGGATGGCTTCGTGACTTGGAGTCGAAGCTTCGGGATGGCTTTGTCATGAAGGCAGTCTCCAGACCGAACGCTTGCTTAAGCAAGCGGAGCATTTCAGGATTCTGACGTCCCAGAGCTTTATATATATAGTTTTATGCATCATTCCCATTTCTGACCAAGTGAAAAATGAGGAATCTCTCAGAGCAGCTGGAGCGATACGAATACTCCACGACCTTCAGACACATGTCTTGCCCCTCGGGACTTGTACAAGGGACTTTCTTGTGATCTTTGAGCCTGGTGTCGCGTTCTTTTTTAAGAGTACAGTACATAGAGGTGTTTATATACCGTAATTCATTTTCCTTGTCAGAAACACACATTATGTCAATTGCTTTGTCATGTTGCAAGGTCATGTGCCCTGCTGGTTTGCCATGCTCACAAAGTCTACTCAGGACCCCAGCAGCCAAGCTGATCAAATTCATTCAAGGGTTTTCAGGCTTCGTCCAACAATATTATGCACCTTTTTTCCAATTCTTTCTCAGAGGTGCTCGAAGGAATGATAGCACACCACCATGGAACCTTTCTTTTTGAGGAGACGCATCATGCCCATCGTGGTCTCATTTTGAGACAATTTTCTGCAGAGGTTGGAGGAAGACGTGAAGGCCAGCACGGACAAAGATGGCAAGCAAATACTTTTTGAAGTGGTGGACAAGCCTTAAGCCATGCCAAGATCCTTCAACAAGTTCCACCGAATATCTAGAATCTAGCATCACGTTTGTTCCTTTGGGTTTAACATTGCTTGCACTCCGACAAAACGGACTTAACAAGTCGTGAAACGATGATGGTGGACTAAAGCTTCTATATAATTATATAAAGGCTTTGTGGCCAGGTGGTCATTGCTGCTATTAACGCGGGACCTTTACACAACCTGAATAGTTTCATTAGGATGGCCATCACCCACATCATTTTTGACCAGGGTTTATACAGTTAGAGCCTCAACTTTGGGCAACTCCAGCTTTCTTGCTGGGTCCAGGCTAATGGAACTAGACTCAGAGACACTGTTTGCCGGGCAACTGCAAGGTCCAACATTCTCTCTCATCGGCGCTGACCACTTTGGCCAACGCACGTTGGGCTTGGAGCTGGGGGCTGGCAGTGCCCAACACTTTCAGGCTGATATCGTTGCAAGAGTTGTCTACTGTTGCTCCGTGTTTTTGTTCTTGCCTGTGCAGGCTGGGGACACCATCTCTGGCGAAGTGGAACTTTTGCTGTATCCCAAGAAAGAGTCCGCCACGTTCTCAGGGTCATGCATACCATTGCTTAGAGGTTTTGGATTCTGCAAAAAAGAGAGAACTGCATGCAGTGTTTCATCCAACCGCAGTACTCCAAATTTCTGCGGATACTACAGTAGTAGATGTATTGTATGTTGGCTCGAAGGAGAACCCTTCCTGTGAGTGTCTACAGCTCTACGGACTAGCAGTCGCGAGGTAAAGCAATGAAACCTCGAGCGCACGTGTTTGCAAGAGTATAAGATTAGGCCGCTTCCTGTACGACTATGCCAACTCTACCCAGTCCTACAGTTCTATATGTTCTAAGTTGCTGGGCGGATGCACATACACTCCGAAACTCCTTGGTTTTGTGGGGAGACGTCTCAGGTCTACTATGGTCGAGCAGCATTGCAGCTACAAAACGACTGGGAGTTGGTTTTCCGAGAGACCCAGTTGGAGGCCATTGGTGAAAAATCCCTGCACAGACCGCAGATTATGTGTGGCTCCTGCGGCTCCGGTGCAGGAAGTCCGCAGCCATTTCGCACAATGAAGCTTTTTCAGCAATAGGGGGAGGCCCATTGCTTCTCGGTCGGAGGCCATCGCTATTGTTTTGACATGTAATTGTGTAGTTGACTTTGGAGGCGCATGTGCTTTTGCAATAACAAAAGCAATGGCTTTCAACCTAATAGCGATGGCCTCCAACCCAATAGCGATGGCCGGACTCCAACCTAGTGGCGATGGCCTCCAACCCAATGGCGATGGCCTCCAAGCGAATAGCGATGGCCTCCAACCCAATGGCGATGGCCTCCAAGCTAATAGCGATGGCCTCCAACCTAATGGCGATGGCCTCCAACCTAATAGCGCTGGCCTCCAACCTAATAGCAATGGCTTCCAACCTAATAGCAATGGCTTCCAACCTAATTGTGATGGCCGCCAACTTAATAGCGATGGCCTTCAACCTACTAGCGATGACCTCCAACCTACTAGCGATGGCTCCCAACCTACTAGTGATGGCCTCAAACCTACTAGGGATGGCCTCCAACCTAGTTTTGACATGTAACTGACTTTGGAGGTGCATGTGCTGGAGGGTCAGCTTCAACGCAAGCATCCTTTGCGCCTTCTTGTGAATGCCAGAGGCGTGAACTGCAGATGGACTAAACTGCTATGGCCAGTGTGGTAACTAGACATTGCCAAATTGCAGCTGCACTGCAGTTTCTATGACTTGCGTATGTGTGCCTGTTGAGTAGCGGTCGAGATACTTGCATTGCCAGGACAGGCAGAATTCAATTTCAGTATACCAGCGAACTACTCAGGCAGTCGGCAAACTTTTCGCTGTGTAGCAGCAACCTTCAAGGAATGTTTACATTGAAAGTTGAGGGAACTGACTTGTTTAGACACCTGGAGAAGCTTGGGATTAGAACATTCTAGAATTATAGTTACTAGAACCAGCTGTGCACGGCTTTCATCATAGCTGATGCTCGAATGCACTAGCGCTAAGAGGGGTGGTGAAAATCATACAAACGCTGTAAATCCAAACACCTGAACCACCTCATCACCCTTGAACACCATTAGCAGCACAAGCAACAGCAACAGCAGCAAAGGACCCAAGCCCCACTACTACCCCTGAAAGCATCGCTTTGTAGAGTTGCAGAGGCACGGAACCTGCAAAACAACTACCACAGTATCAACGATTTACAACTCATGTCTATTAGGTTGGAGGCCATCGCTATTAGGTTGGAGGCCATCGCTTCTAGCTTGGAGGCTTATCAATGATTACAAGTGATTTGAGTACTATGTTCCATACGATCTGACTCTGGAGGAGTGCTGCCTGTGACCATTGCCGGGGTCGAGGGCTTGCAGGGTTGCCTGCAACACTTCCAGCACGAAGTCTGCAAAGCGGAGTTCGAAGGCTTGGTCGTGTGCTTTGAGTTCTTTGTTTTTTGGGACACTTGTAGTGTACTGCTCTGCCCGTGTCTTAAGTTTGCTTGTCACTGATACACGTCAAGAATTGACCAAAACTCCGTGTAAGATGACATTTTGCAGGTGGCGAGTTCCAAGTGGATTACATAATGAACGAAGGCTATTCATACACCTACAGATTCTTGGAATTGATTATGAATATTGTCTTCCAGCAGAAAAGGCCGAAGTCCTTATTAACTAGTCAGAACTTGTCGTAAATCCAAAGACTCGGTGTGGAGTCATTTGATTCAGGCAGATGCGGCTTTTTACGTTTCACTTTTCTCTTTCCTTACCTTCCTGCTTGCAAAGTTTTGCTCCGACTTCTACTTCATTTGAAGGCTTGCCAGACGTGGAAGAGCCTCACTTTTACTTTGACTCTGACTGTGGGGCAGCTGGCTAGCTGATGAGTCACTGGACCAGTCGACCAGCTGAGTCGGTTGAGATGGCCTCAGAAGCGTAAGAAGACGCCAAGTCTGAATTTCCACGAAGCTCCTGAGAAGACCTGCAAGGAGAACTGTGCAGAGAGTCACAGCGACAAACACTCAAAAACAATTGAACATGTTTGCACAGTTAAGATGCATTGGCACATTTATGTCATATCCATGCCGTGCCTTCTTTGCTGCAGGACGGCTCATGTCTGTCATTCCAGAGTACGGACACATCGCTCTGGGTCCTGTTGGGTACGACTGGCTGCAGAAGGAGATTCGATGTGAAGCACATCGTGGAGACCGGACACAGACTTTGGAGACTAAACATCGTGGAGACTTTGTCAGCGTAAAATCTCTATTTCTTGGTGAGTGAGTACCAACCATGTGCTCATAGCAGAGGCTTGGCAGAGGGCTGATGAAGCAGTGTAACAAGCTAAAGCCTCCGCTCCGAGCTTCTTTTGGGATGGCTCACCATGATAGCAGGCAGGAGGAGAAAGAAACTGTGCCTCAGTGCTAGACTGCTAGACAGAGCGAGAAGGATTCCAAGATGTTTAAGTGCATTGTTTGAAGCTGATAGTTGCTGATGCGTTTGCTGGCCATTGTCAGCTTTATTTTGATTCGTTTGGCGAGACAGAGTAGCAGCTGTTGACATCATACTCCGACGGCAGCCAGTACTGAGTACTGGTTTAGCGTCAAATTGACTTGACAATTGAGTCTGTAGGAACCTTGACAAGCAGTTGGCAAACACCAAACTTACAGCATCATGTAGCCTTTGCCTTTGCAAGTCTTTCATGATGTCCACCACGATGGCATGGTGCCCCAGTTCCCAACTCTTCTGCCAGACTCCCCTTTTCTCAATGAACTCGAGGCACGCCTTGGTCGACCGCTTGGTGTAGCTATAAGGAGGCAACGGGCAGCTTTTGGGTGAGAACTTACTGTATCTTTGTCGGACAGGCTTTCCTTGGTCAAGTTGACTTGCAGGTAGTTTCAGGTGAAAGGATTGACTCAGCAGGTTTTTGAGATTGGAGCACCGGAGCGCCAAATCCGTTGGCTTCGTTCTTTTCCGAGGTGGACATTGCCATTTGTCCAGCAAGGCAAGAAATGTGCAAACTGCAGAGCTTTCGAACCCTGCAGACTCGAGACATACAGGTGTGACTTTGGGCGACGGTTTCCTGCGAGCTCAGGCATAGATGATAGCGGAATATTCTCAGAATGCACTGAAGTTCAAGTTCCAGAAAGCAAAGATCAGACATTTTTGAAGCCGAAGCTTTTTTGATAGCGAGGCCTTCCAACAGGTCTGTTGCAACTCCTCATGTTTGAGGTGGGTGCTGTATGTTGCCGCTCCACGCCAAAGTTCCTTCAATTCCTTGCTTTCCACACCACAGGCCAGCGCTGGCCACCGGCACTTTGGGGGCGCCAAGATCAACGGCGCCTCTCCATCACTTCATACACTTCATAACATTGAAGTCTCCCAACTTTTACTTACCGTAACACATAGCAAGGGCCCATACGTGTTTGAATTTGAATAGGGTTCTTACCTATTTGAGGGCCACTCGAAGTGCCTATAATACAGCCATACCGAGATGCACTCATTCAGGTACTTGGCCCCATGTCGCAGCAGGCAAGGATGAACATCATAACTCAAAGGTGAAAGATTTTAGATAGGTTGGAGGCCATCGCTAGTAGGTTGGAGGCCTTCGCTAGTATTTAAACTTAGGTCGGAGGCCATCCATCGCTAGTAGGTTGGAAGCCATCGCTAGCAGGTTGGAGGCCATCGCTCGTAGGTTGGAGGCCATCGCTAGTAAGGTTGGAAGACATCGCTAGTAAGGTTGGAAGACATCGCTATAGGTTGGAGGCCATTGCTAGTAGATTGGAGGCCATCCATCGCTAGTAGGTTGGAAGC